GGTTTTGGGGGAGGGGACGAGGGATCCTCTGGGTCCTGATATGGCCTGGGATCAAATGTTGCTGACGCTTCCTTCAGGACCCGCTCGGTGGGATGCAATGCCCATATGGCTGTATAAACAGTTCGCCACGTTACTATGATCCCTTTTGGGAGGGATAATGCAAGATGTTCAGAGGTTCTCAATTCCTTGCCCACCTTCTCCCAGAAGGTCAAATCATAAGAACCCCCTTCCGGGAACCACGGGCAATGGTCTCGTATCCAAACCAACAGCTGAACCAGCTGTACAGGGGGAACCTTAAACCCCTGTTCCTTCACAATGCGCTGCAAGATCTCAAGCTGCAGTTTTCGCTCTTTTGTGGCAGACTGCCCCATACTGTTATTCTGTCCGCTGCTGCTCACCTGTTCGTCCTGTGAATGGTGATGTCAGTAATTTCGGGAGCTCCTCTCAACAGCTTATCCTCCATCCAGCTGCGGATACACCACCGGTTCGAATCACTCGTTCACTTCAAGCCCTGTTCAGGCGCCATTTGTGATGTATGAAGGCACGGACTCCGGCCGGTGCAAGCACGAAATCATTTTATTCCAAGATTACAACTATCTTTATTCCCTCTCAACTTCCCAAAAGTCTACATCCTGCTTTTCACAAACTGTGCTTTCTCACAGTCCCAACACAGCATTCTCGAAGGTCGTTGACTCGGGCAGATGTTGTTATTGTTGGCTCAGGACTCTTGATTACGCGCATTCCCGCTGACTCTCGGATCGTCCTCCAAGGTCTGCAGCTTTTCTTGGTTTTGTCCTTGGGATGCCCTGTCACGTGGCCAAAGCACTATACTTGTTGATTCTCTACACTCATTCTTAAACTTGAGATCCTCTACTTCCTCTTCTGCTGGCTGCAGTTTTTTTTAGCAAATCATCCTCTCTTAGAAGGGAGCTCACAAAGCTTGCTTGTACTTTTCCACTCCCTATCCTAGAGCCATGCTTTCTGTCTCAGCCCTTCTCTTTAACTATTCCTAGCTGGCGTGAATCTGTCTGGACCTCTTTGCTAATCAGACCACTGAGTATGTTAGCCTGGGTTCTCACAATATATTGTTGGACCTTGACCTCTGTCTGGATCCGTTTGGTATCCTGCTCAGCTCAAGTTTCTGTCTTGGTCTCCTTTGTATTCTGCTGAGCTCTCTGATCTTTCTCCCTCTGGACCTGGGGCAATTCTTATTCTGCTGAGCTCTCTGATCTTTCTCCCTCTGGACCTGGGGTAATGCTTCCTGGAAAGCCAAGCCTTGTTCCTACCACTTGTCCTGGAAGGAATACAACAAATCCTGCTCTATCTGAACCAGCTAGTTAATAACTTTCTGTCTGGAGAAATTAGCTTCGTTCAACTCCTGCTGATATGTTCTCTGCAGGTCTCTCACATCTGGGGTATTCTGGACTCTTTTCTGAGGTCTCTTTAGCATGGCTCCCAGCCCTTCTGCTTTCTTTCCCAGCTGGATCTGGACCCTAACAGTCCTGAGTCATTGTCCTGGTCTTTCCCACATGAGGGTTGGGTAGCCCACCCAGTCTCTACCCAAGATTACAGACCAAGGCAAGTTCTTAACCATGCCAATCTGGAGGATAGGTGATAAAATGTGATGTAATAATTTAGTTGAGTATATGTACTACTTTGGCAGTATTCTTTAATCTTTATTTTCAAGTGTGTCAGTGATCACCAAGAATTTTACAATCATAAGGAGGCATAAGATTCATATTCTTGAATTCCAAAATACAGGATTCTACCTTTCAAGGTAAGGTCACATTAGTAGGTCTGACCTTCTATCCTGTAGTGCACACAGCTTTACGTGAACAATAACCTGTATAATACAAGGCCCAATTAGAAAATCCTCTTATACTTGAGCATCTGGAATTTCCAAGAGTTTAATTGTTGGGGTTTGGTGCGATATACAAAGAAAAATATTATTATTTGAGTTATAGCAGTGTTTGGGCTTATGATACATATTTGAGAGCAGGCATGGCCTTCCACCCAAAAGAGGGCATCATCTCATTCCCCTCGCCCCATCTTACATACACATACAATTAAAGAAACAATTTTTAAAACATCAGTAAAACTTACTTATACCACAGAAGCAGTCATGTATTTATGAACTGATGGGAAACTTGAACTGATAGACAGTGAATCTCTTTCCGGATTATTAAAAACACTTGGCTTTGAATGCTGGTTTTAGGAAAGTTTCCAAACTTTTTCCATTACTTTGAGTATGGATGGAGATGTGGGAAAGGACTGCAATTTTATTATAAATTATTATAACCTTTTAAAATAACAACCCTGTGGAACCTGACAAAATCAGCCTTCACTGACAAAGGAAAAAGCCTAAGAAAACTGCACATAAAAATTGCATATGCAAATTTTAAAAGTCTGAAGTGGACACCCTCCATCACATAAGCCATCCAAATCCCCCAATTATCCCTATGCAAATACATCAATCACCTTACCATTGTCAGTTCT